ACAGCATCCTAAAAAGCAGAGACATCACCCTGCCAACAAAAGTCCGAATAGTCAAAGCTATGGTTTTTCCTGTCGTGATGTATGGAAGTGAGAGCTGGACCATAAAGAAAGCAGACCACCGAAGAACTGATGCCTTTGAATTGTGGTGCTAGAGGAGGCTCTTGAGAGTCCCCTGGACTGCAAGGAGAACAAACCTATCAATTCTAAAGGAAATCAAATCTGAGTGCTCGCTGGAAGGACAGATCCTGAAGCTGAGGCTCCAATACTTTGGCCATCTCATGAGAAGTGAAGACTCCCTGGAAAAGGCCCTGATTTTAGGAAAGTGTGAGGGCAAGAATAGAAGGGGACAACAGAGGATGAGATGGTTGGACAGTCCCATTGAAGCTACCAACATGAATTTGAGACAACTCCGGGAGGCAGTGGAAGATAGGAGGGCCTGGCGTGCTCTGGTCAATGGGGTCATGAAGAGTCGGACATGACTAAACGACGACCACAGAACTACTAAAGAATGCTGTACTGAATTCTCAGCCAAGTTCTACATCTCTCTACTAAGAAGTCCACCCCATTAAATGTATTTTATTTGCTCCAAAATAATGTGTTTAGGATTGTAGCCTTTCTCCAACAAAAAGCTGCACAAATAGTTTTAATAATAAATCAGCAGAATAAGCTCAACAGCTGGTACAGTGCTATCAACCTGGTTTAAGTCTCATTTAAACCTTGAACTATTTAGATAGCACCAGAAAAGATGCTATTTCCTGTATCCCACACCTAAGTGCAGGGACAAAAATGGTCTGGCTTACTGGATTAATGAAACAGCATTAATCACTGCAGACAATAGTGAACTAGATGGACCAGAGGCCTGATTCTGGCCAACATCTCAGTAAGGCAGTAGAACTATACACTGAGCTCACATTATGTACTAATAAATATTAATACTGCAAATTAGGTTTCAGAGAATTAGGCATTACAGTTGAGCATTCTTACCCACATGCAAGTTTCCTACATGCAGAGATTTTTATTTTGGTGGAATAACATTCCTTCACATTAGTCTCTGCTAGCAGACAGAATTTGGTAGCTTTGTACTGTTCCCTATGAATGCGAAGGAAACACTTGAATTGATTACAAGTTATTTATTCTGGTATTCCCTTAAGTTCTGTCAATTAGATTCAAACAATTTTAAATGAATAATTCTGGTCAGTGAAAACACAGCATTATTTTCTACCTACCTATGAAAAAACAGTCAGATACTGTATGCATATTCACTTAAGTAAATTTTTAGCCCTCCTAAGGCAGACATCTAAAGGTGAGTTACAATACAGGTCAATAATATACATGCTTCACAAGTGTTCTGGCTGACAAAAATAACACTGGCAACACAACTCTTAATTCCAAATTACAAACCCTTTAAGCTGTCTTTATAGAGGCTGTTTCTCAAGAGAGAAGAAAGCAGCATTTGAAAGTTCCGATAACCGCAGCCCCAGCCTTTGTCTCCTGAAGAACAATGGAAGTGATCCACTCCTGTAGAAAGCCACACATGTTTTACGTCTTTACATTCATTTTGATAGTACTGGCACAGAGCTTCAGTAATTCCTAATTAAAAAACAAACAAACAAACAAACAAGGTGGGGGGATAGAGCAGAAAGAAAAACTATGTTAAGTCAACTTACTTGTGCTATTTCTGCAGTTATCATATGGTTTACAAGCCATAATCAAACTGAAAGAAAAATCTAAAATGCAGAGCAAAATCATCTTTGCCTGCCAGTGGGAGGATAAGAGGAAATGAGTCAATCTAATGTTCCTCTTTCAGGAATTCCAGAGCCCACAAGTAGCCACAGAGAAATGCCTTCGGTAAACAGCCAAAGAGGCTACCATGAAAGAGACTATAAGGCATGGGCAAGGAACCCCATGTAGCCCTCCAGGTGTTGCTGAAATGCACTCTCATCTGCCTTAGCAAACATAGCTAACAGTGGAGGAAAAAGGGATTTGCAGTCCAAAACGACTGAAGGGCCAGAGATTCTCCATTAGTGCTCCAAGAAATCTGCCATTAGAATCTAGAAAATCGCATGGGACCTCTAAATTTTGAAGTGAAATCAATGGTTATATTTATTTTAAAATTACATGGCAACATGTCTGCATTTTTAGTTTTTCCCATGCGTGCAAAACAGGAGAGATACATCAGTCACCAGAAGAACCACCACCTAAAGCCAACAGTTACTTTAGAATAAGGTAATGACAATACATAAAGTATATCTGAAGGGATGGCAAGGGCAGGCAAACATGTTATGTTTCAGAACTCATCCTATGCAGCTTTATTCAGTTGGGCAAGTAATATATTAGCCTTACAAATAATCTAATTACTGAAGAGATTTAGTTCAATATATTATAATACTGTGAACCCAAAGAGGAGCAAGACTGCACCTGGCAAGATGGTGAGGCTGCTATATACACCTTAGAGCTGCAACATGTTTCCTCCATCTATTCACAGGAACAGAAAGCTTTCTGTAGTGAAACACTGCATGCTGCTGGAGAAATTTTAAAAAGGAAGTTCTCATGTTTTCGTTACTGACCTGAAGTTCTTGTCTTTCCATCATCAGTGCCAAAAGCCAGAGATTCCATCATATCAGCCTTTCTCCTGTGATATTCAGATGGTTGCATTTTTCCAAAAGCCACTTCCTTTTCCATGTACTTTAGAGACTGCTGCTTATACCCTCCAGAGCCATCCAAGCCGTATTGTCTCTGTTAAGGACAAATTACACTTCTAAGGGAGAAGAAAAGGTCCTAGAATAGACTTCTTCCTCAGGGTGCCCTTCGTGTATTTTGGACTTCATCTCTGATGGTACCTGTTACGTTCACCCCGTACCCCTGTTTCTTTTTCTCAACCCAAAGGGCTCACGCTGGTGACGTTCCCTCTTTCTTTCGCTGCCACCAGTGGATTTCTTTATCAACACTGTAAAGAACTTTAGTCTGACACTGGCTGCTAACTACAGAACTTGTTTATTAAAGGGTATTAGGGTAATTCAGGATCACAGATGTTCTTATTCATTCCATAGAATCAAAATCATTGAAATATCATATATTCTGCAACACATTCAATCACCTCCTGTTTTACTTATTCACTTTAACCAGCTTATCCTTATTAATTTCAGATCTCTCTCTCTCTCTAAACCTCTCTCCTCTCTCTAACTGACTTGACTCTCTGCCTCCGCCCCTCCTGTCCTCTCATAGGCTTATGCAAATGAGCTCCAGCTATGAGTGACAGGCATGACGTGGGGCATCCGTCACAGTACCTCAGCCAATAACCTTGGGATCTTGGGCTGATGGGAACAGTAGTCCAAAATATCTAGAAAGAACCAACTTAGAGGGGGCTGTCCTCTAGGAGTTGTCTTCACAAACAAACTAGGCTCATAAAAACCCTGTTTGCATAATAAACTAAAATCAGTGGGGAAACATAGAAGGATGATGAATGATAGGCTTAACATCAAGTCTCCACAATGATTTCTCCCTCCTGCCACTCCCCCCAGTCTCTCTCTTTCTCCCACCCATCTAAATTTGCACTGAGCTTCTCAGAAGCTAGGAAGAACAGCAGAGCAAACCACCTGGAAACACCTGGCAACAGGACCAAGCTACTTCAGACAGAACATCCTCTTTGATGAGCTACTTAAGATCAAACTGAAATCTCTCTCACACACCCACACCTGGCTTGAAGCCTCCCAGCCCCATAATCCCACTGGGAATTTCTGCCAAATTAAGGCATTGAGAGGCCTTTAATTATGAAAATCCAATCCCTAGTATCCACAATACTCCAATTCTATTTAAGATATTCTCTGAATGGCCTTTCAAAATGTGGAAAACTCTGAAAAAGACAGCCAAAGACAGAACCATCAGAGCCCAGGCGGGGGTGCCCCAAAACCACCCACGCCCGCTTTAGAGCACTTTGGAGGCTCTTCCTGACTGTGCAGGAAAAGCCTCTGAAGTGCTCTAAAGTGGGCACGGGTGATCGTGGTGCGAAAAAGCCCCATTGGAACAATCGTTTTGCGATGGGTAAAATGAACGCAAAAAACCATTGTAAAGCGATTTTGTCGTAAAGCGAGGCAACCATCTAGCGAGGCACCACTGTACTCTGTCATCTGCTGTTCTTCACAATGCCTCACTAGATGTTACATTCTTCCCAAACAGTACTTACATTCTTCCCACACAGTTCTATCTTCTCAATTTATAATGAAAATTCACTAACAAATTTATAGAGTAACTTTTTGGAAACAAATTTAGCTTGGAGGTATTAAAAGGCCATGTAGAGACAATACAGTGGTGCCTCGCTTAGCGATTGCCTCGTTTAATGATGTATTCGCTTAGCGATGAGGTTTTTGGTGCGATTTTGCACTCCATTTAGCGATGTTCCCTATGGGGAAATTTCGCATAGCGATGTTCGGGACCTTGCCTCGCTTAGCGATGACAGTTTTAGGTCCCCTGTTTCGCTTAGCGATGTTCCGTTTTTGCTATTTTTAAAGTGTATTAAAAGGTTCAAAAACGGTTTTAAATGCTTGGGATCGTTAGTGCACCTTCTGAAACCTGTGCAAACTTAATTTGGCTTTGATCTGACTCTTCGTTGATTTTTGGTGAATTTTTTTCTCCCCCATTGGGAAGCATTAAACTGCAGGTTTGACAGCTGTCAAACCGACAGTTCAATGCTTCCCAATTGGGGAGAAAAAAATTCACCAAAAATTAACGAAGAGTCAGATCAAAGCCAACTTAAGTTTACACATGTTTCAGCAGGTGCACTAACGACCCCAAGCATTTAAAACCGTTTTTGAACCTTTTAAGACACACTTAAAATTGCAAAAACGGACATCGCAAAACAATTGGAATGCATTGAATAGGCTTCAGTGCATTCCAATGGGGGAAACATTGTACCACTTAGCGATGTTTCCTATGGGGATTTTCGCTTAAGGACGGCAATTCGTTCTTATTGGAACGGATTTACCGGTTTTCAATGCATTCCTATGGGAAATTGTGTTTCGCTTAGCGATGTTTTCCCATAACGATTTTTTTTAACCAATTAACATCGTTAAGCGAGACACCACTGTAATTGATAAAGTATGGCATTGTTTTTATACTATGGTAGGTTATAACACATATGCTGACTAAAACATAATGTTCTCAGCTCAGTCAAGAAATACCGAAGTCAGTTCATTAAAATATTGCAGTGAGACCACAATATCATACCTGTAGCTTTTGGAAATCTTCTTTTTCTTGTCTTGCTGCTGCTTCTCTTCTTTTCCTATCTTCCTCATCTTGGAGATGTTGTGCTAATTCTAAGTCACTCAAGTGTCTTCCTATGCCACATTATTAAGAAATTAGAGAAACACACACACACGCACGCAGAGAGAGAGTTCCTGTCTTTGAGAATGCTGAATATTTCAAAACATTCAACATTTTTCAACAAAGTGAATGGCTTTATAGTCCTATTCATGTTTATGGAAAAACTGTGCAGAATGGGTCCCAGGAAAGTATACGAAGGATTATAGCAACAGACATTGCTTTCATATGATATAGGCAAAGTTTAAACATTGATTTTCAGCTAAAGGTTCTTGATTATCTAGAAGCATCCCCCCCACCATACAGCACTGGAGGTTTCTGTTTCAGTTCCCCGGTACTGCACAACTCTATTGAGATATGCTAGCCAAGTCTCCAGCCAAGAAATGTACAATCTCCATTCACTTGGAATGCTCCACTGATGGAAGCCCCTCTTTAATTCACAGAATGTTGTTGCCAATGAAGAGGAAGGGCTGTTCCACTGCTGAATCCCTCAAAATTTGCTTCAAATGCTTGGGCAACCCTTGCAAAACCCTTACAAAAAACTGCTACCTTTTTTATTTTGGAATCTTTCCTTACCTTCTAAAAAGCTGCATTCCTCTAAGTGCAGTTCAACATGTTCCTGCAGAACTGGATAGTTATCACAAACAAGCTGACACATTGGACATTCATATAGTCTCTGACCATTTTCTGCATTAAAGAAAAGTACTTGGTAAATTGAGGCCCAGCACTCAACCATACACATCACACCATTGTAGTGTTTTTCAGGCAGCCACAAAAAATGAGGTGAGGAACTGGGCTGATTGTGACCTGTTGCATCTTGGGATGAAGTCCACTGCTCCCCTTCACTGACCTTCATCATACAAGTGAGTCTTATTATGTTTTGAACAAATAGTTTCCTCAACCCAAGCAACCTTGTTGCATCAGGAGGATATGATGGGGAAAAAGACAATACAGTAGCCTTTGCCATAATGAGTAACCCTCCCTGCACCACAGCCTCCCCTTCCCTATTTGATGCAGAAATTATGCTTGGGGGGGGGGAAGGTGGGGAAGGACAGAGTGAAAGAAAAGACAGAGAAAGAATTGGATGGATGCATACATGTATCCACCTGAATGAATGTATGTGAAAAATAATGGAAGTAAGAGCACAAGATGAAAGAATGATGAATGGGAGATGTGCATTGTTTGAAGAGGAAGAGAGGTACGCAGATGGCAGGAAAGGAAAAACGAAGCTTGCATCAATGGATTATTTTATCATGAGCACTGATGGATTACAAGATCCTGCTGCATATGGGTAAAGTTCTGCACATCTGAGAAAGTGGATTGTTATCTCACAAAAGGCTTGTACTAAAATAAATTTATTAATATGAAAAGAATCACAGTGTTCCTTGTTATTTTGTTAAAACAGACCAGGACAATCACCCTCTTTGAACACTTGCACGAGTGGGGTTTATGCACAAGTATATTTTCCATACAGTATTTATTTTCAGGGAGTGTAAGCAGTGTTAAGTTGTTCCAGCGAAAACAACAAGGAGCATCCAAGCAAACGGGCTACTGTTCTCAAAGGCTTATGCATAAAACTTGGCTAGTGGGAAGTGTTTCTGTTGCCCTCTCCTGCTACTGGCATATATCTGCTTCAGATAATCAAGAGGAACCATGAGATAGTGGGAAGTTTCCAAACCAGGACCGAAAGCGGAACTTATTTTATTTATTTAAAATACTGTATTTATATGTTGCCTTTCTCCTGAAGGATTGAGGGCAGCTTACAGCATTTAAAAGAAACAAAGTTAAAAGCCAAATACTGTAGTAAATTATTACTAAATTAGAAAAGCATTAAACAACTATCATATTAAACTTTCACAGCTCCTGCTTCCTTCACTCCCACTACCCATGTGCCAGAGGTACAGCAGAAGAAGATAGTGGTGGTGTTCAGTCCAGATTGAGCAGGGGGTTGGACTCCATGGCCTTATAGGCCCCTTGCAATGTCATTATTCAATTCATCTAAGATTCTAAACTAAAGCTTAGCTGTAGCTCAGTGGGTTGGAGTGTCTAGCTGTTGAGCCAGGGGATCAGGAATTCGACTTCCTACCATGCTCCCAGGAGAGAGGTCAACCAACATTACCCAGATGGTGCCTGTATCATGGGGCTATGTGTCCTTTTACCTGTTCAACCCTGGGCAAGCTGCACAGTTTCGGGACACACCCATAAAGACAGAATGGTAAATTGCTAAAGACCTTCATATTTTAAAAATCCTAGGAGAATTGCCATACGTGAGAGTCCACTGGAAGACACACAATTCCCTAAAGCGCAGCCTGCACAGTTAACTTGCAAACCCCCCCAGAGAGTGCGTTAAGAGCTATGGGGCGGTATATAAGCAGCATGCTTTGCATTATTATTATTTTTTTAAATCAATGGACCTGGAGCGTCAGGGCATCATAAGGAAACCGATGCTCCCTCCCAAAACGAGCATATTGGAGGTGCCAGGTCAGAAGAGGCGCACAAAGAGACCTTCCTCCTATGGTCCAAGCCCTTTCCAAAAGAATTACTGTATACATTCGCACAAGCCAGGGAACGAGAGCGGCACTGAATGCTCAAAGCCACCCGCCTACCCCCGCCGCGAAACCCAAAGGAGCTTCCCCTAAAAAGGTTCGCTCACCACGGGCGGGAGAAGGAGGAGGAGCACGGGCACCACCAGAAGGGGCCCCCGGGAGAAGCCGCTGCCCCTGCCGGTCTCTCACAGACCACTCCATCTCCCTGCACGGCCGCCGGGAGAGCCGCAAGATCCCCCGAGCAGAACCCAGACAGCGAAATCGAAAAATCGCCACGCCTGCGCAGTACGAGGAACGCGGGCGATCGCCGCTGCCTTCCACGATCAATTGCGCAGACTCCGACGCCGTCTCGCCTCTAGCTCCCTCCCCAAACGGCCTCCCGCGCGCTCGCTTCAAATAAGAGACGGGTAGAAAAAACCTCGCGTCGCGTCACGTCGCGACGTCTCTTTCCCCCGTGGTTTTTCCTACTGGGAATAGTGGAGCGCGTTCTCTGTGAATGTTGTTGGTCACCTTCTTCGGGCTCCTTCAGTTTCTGTTTCGTTTCCGCTGAAAGTTTCTTTTCACTCTGCAGGGTTTGGTTGTATTACTGAGGACAGACGAGTAAACTATGCTTGAGCTGTGGATAGCACCCCGTGGAAACCGAGGGCGCCGGCTGCCCCAAGACGTGAAAACGCTCGCCGGTTGGGAGGACCCCAACTTCCAGCTTTTCAAGGGAGATAGGGTTGGGTTCTTGTACCCCGTGAGGGCGCACACGTTACTTTTGAAAGGTGCTCTGGCGTGCTTTGGATTGTGTGTAGGCATATTCATAAACACTCGAAGTATTTTATCCCGATGATGACTGGAAACCCCTTTCGGGTTAGGGCCAGAGAGCCTAGTGCTTTGCAATCAGAAGACAAAAATATGCAGCTTTTTAGCCTTCCCCCGTCCTCACTTGTGCGTTTATAATGGGAGGGGGAAAAAAAAATCAAAAATACGGTGGGACAGCAATATAGCCCAGCAAGATAATCCTAACCCTTTTTCTCCTTATAAGAGGGATGAGGGGGGAGGGAATTATTTGGGTCACGAAACAGGCTTTATCACTACAAACTCAATGGACACCCCGTGCCTTCCCCTGCTTGAGGTTTGCGCTCTCCAGCTGGCTGCGCAGCGCGGGCGCCCTCTCTCGGCCATCTCAGGAAAGTGCCTCGCTCGCGCCTTCGGCCGCGTTCTGCGCCGCCCCCCCCCCCAACCTCTGGTCCGAAGCGCAACGGTTCCCAGTTTCCCGTGCGCGCGGAGAGTGCTGGGAAAGGAGGAAGCGCCCAGGCTGGAGTTTTCGGTGGGCTTGGAGCCGCCATCTTGGATTCAGAACCTGTCAGTTGCTCCGAGGGGGAAAAGCCAGAGGTGGCGGCGGACGGGGGTTCCCCTCGCAATGGGTGCGTGAGCGTGTCGGGGTGCGAAGTGATGCTCGGCGCGGGGTTGGGTCGTTGCAGGCGCGGAAAGTGTTGGGAGGCGAGAATCTATCGAGTTGTAATCATTCGAGATAGAAGAGCTTCTATATGTCCCTTTTATCCTCTCCCATCTCCCAGTGTCCCGCTATTTAACAAAAAAAGAGGGTCGTCACATTTACCTCACTTACCATCTCCTGACCCACAGGAACAGTCTTAAGTCGGGAAGCTCACACCCCCTTCCACACGGTTTTTCGTTCTTGCGTCGTCATAGAGTAGAAGATAGAAGGGGCGAATGACAGCTGCAGTATCCTAGATGCTTACTTGGGAATAATTCGTATTAAAATTAGTGGGAGGCATTATCGGCTAAATCTGGTTTAAAAAACCGAAATATCCATCTTTTCTATGCCTTCCCTCCCTGCCTGTCCGCTCTTTGCATACAGTACTTGGTAGTGTTGGTCCTTCGGAGGCGTGGTCCTTTTCTTTTTTTTTCTTTTTGACTAGGAGGAGTTTTTGGCTAAAACAGGTCACAGTGCTTGACAGCTAGCTCTTCCTTTGATATACAGTATTTTGTTGATTTCGCTGTGTGAAAAGACTTCCACTAGGTTCTTGCATGCAATAGCAAAAATGGGCTTCCAGTGATACACTGCAGTATTCCTGTTTATGAAAGAAAGTGGGCTATTTCTTTTAAGGCCATTCTGCTGTTACAGAAAATATTTTCAAAGAGGGTGATAAGAAATGTGTGTAAAATGTAGCACTGTCAGCAAGAAAGTGGAAGACGGGTATTCTTAAATTGGACAAATCTTCTGTTCTGCGCGGTGCTGTAACCATGCTGTCAGGGAGTTGCAGGAAGTGGGTACTCCAAAAAGTAATTTTTCCAAGCTCTTGATTGGAAAATAACCTGTCAGCTCTCTTCCCCTACCACCTGCAAAGGCAAGTAGTTGGTGTCTCCCACATTTATAGATCTCCCACATTTAGAGCAGTAGCAGCATCCTAAGGCCCGGTCCTCCCCTTTTCACTGGTATTCCTGTGAGAAGGTGAGAGGAATTTAGCAGGAAGGGAACGTGTGTACATGGCAGTACTGCTGAGTGCTTCCTCTGCCTGGTTTCTTTAAAGCAGACCTGGGCAAAGTGTGGGCCACATATGCCCACGAGCCGTTCCTGTCCGGCCTGCCCGTTGCTGCTCCTGTCTGGCCTGCCGGTCACCAGGGCAAAGTGTGGCCTGTGGGCCACATATGCCCACGAGCCATTCCTGTCCAGCCTGCCCGTCGCTGCTCCTGTCTGGCCTGCCGGTCACCGCTGAGTGAGCCAGAACTCTGGCTCCGGTCACCCAGCATGGCAGTAAGCAAAATTTGTGAGAACCGACGCTGGGATCTCACGAGTTTTGATTGTTACTCTTGAGCCGAAGGCTGCAGAGCCTGTGTCTCAAGAGGCCAGAAGCGATCCTTGCGCAGGTGTTAGGTAGTTAACTATGTGAGCGTTGTAACTATGTGATGACGCATCATGCCACCTGCGTGGGATAGAAGACAGTCAGAGAGGAAGGCCATGGGGGAACGGAGGACAGGTGAGTTAGCTCAGTATCGGGACTTTTTTTTCCTTTCCCCCCTGCGGTGAACGAATTACAATGCTCACATAGTTAACTACCTAACACAGTTCAGATTTTTCATGTGGCCCCCTATAGAAATTAATTGCCCACCCCTGCTTTAAAGGGAAAGGGAAGCGTGAACACTAATAGCACACTTGAATGCCTTCAGGTGGTAGTGCCTCTTTTCCTGTCTGATGTTCCTGTCCAGGAACAGAAAAAGCCAACTGGATAGGGAAACATTTTGTGACCTGCTTGTCTAAGGCTGTTTGGATATCTTGGCCAGGCAGATGCTAAGTAGTCACCAGTCTTCCTTCTGCATAACTTTGAAAATGGTGCAGATTACACTGATCTATAGCCAAAATGCTTCCAAAATAAATGTAGTCAGACTTTACTAATTCTGAGTCGCTGAGAATGAAAACGATGCTTAAAATTGTTGATTGGCTCTAGTTTTCAAATATGTTATTGGATATATGATCCTTGACTTGGAAATGGCGGAGGATGAGTGAGCTATAAAGGGAAGGGATCTCAATTTAAACTAAAAATGACTAAAATACATATTTGACTGGATCTGTGAATAAATCTGACTGTGTTTGGACAGTATTTGCTTTTTAGACAGAACAAATTTCTGTAAGAGACCCCCACTACATCAATATAGATTGGCCACTCTGATAGTCATTGGAGCCTGGAATGAAAACTCTTGAGTATCTACCACTTGTTGAATCAAGGAAGATTTTGTTACTACCCTTACAAGCTGGGTCTGCTGAGGAACTTTGTCGAGGCCATGGACAAAACACAAGCAGCTTTTGAGTGCATCTGTGGAAAATTTCCAAGGTTAAGTGAAGCTAAGATAAAGGAAAGTGTCTTTGTTGGTGTTCAGCTTCATGAACTTCCTTGAAATGATGCATTTGATCATGCACTGCATGGCAAGGAAAAGGCTGCATGGGAAGCTTTCCAGTTATTGGCAATAAATTTTCTCGGAAACAAGGCAGACAACTACAGGTTGGTGGTGGAAAACCTCCTGAAGTCTTATAAAAACCTTGGTTGGAACATGTCACTTAAGATACATGCTTGCAGACTTGCTGGACAGCGACGAGATGCTCCATTTAGTGAATACAAGAAACAAGCTAAGAAGTGCTGAGTAAACACCAAATAGGACTAAAATATGTAATAATAGATTTTTGCCTTTTGTTTCATAATATATTTTATATAATCTTTTTGCTGATTTTTAGTGTGACACAACCAGGACATGCAAAATATCATGTAAAGCAAGCATAAACACATGAAAAGACCTAGGTTTACAATTTATGATAAAAACTACACAATATATTTATAGATGTAAAATATAAAAATTTATACATCTTGGAAACAGTAGCCAGTAGGTTGTTTCAATTGTCATATTTAAATTCAACACATCAAATACATATTAAATAGCACATTTTACCTCTGAAGCAGATGTCTAAAAAATTGTAGACCAGTCTTATCAGGCAGCCATGCAGGCAGTCTCCATTTATCTTTGCAGCTTCAAAGATGGGAGGAGCAATGATGGTCTGTTGCACTTAGTAGAAAATAGCATCATCAGGGCTTGAAAAATGCACTTGTCCATTCATCTCTGACGAGTGAAAAATGCTGCTCCTTGAGTCACAGCTCCCTCTCTGCCTGCCTCCTTCCCCTCTGCCTGTCTCATCTAATCCTGCAGTCCTCCCCTCCTGTTGCAAAAGGAAAACTGCCCTCTTCATGCGAGAAGAGAGTTTGAGTGATACATAGAGATATAGCTCTGCAGGAGAATGTAGAGTAGTCCCATGCTGGAGACTATGGAGATTCCCTGCTCCCAATTTCAACCGAAAGAGGACATATCCTGGGATGGGAGAGAACTGTGGCTCCTTAAGAGGCTGGGTGCTTTTGCTTTCAGTTTTATTTTTGGTGGAGACATTCAAAAGGCATTCAAAATACCAGCTTCATGACCCCACAGGCACGCAGGTAATAAAGCAACCCAAGTCTGAGGGTATAAATCAATAAATTGCAAGGCTATAGTCTGATCCTGCTGACTGGTGAAATTTTTGACTGACTGGTGAAACATTATAAAAAATTTTCAAGCCCTAGTCATCATGGTTATCTTGGCAAGGAGAGTTGTTGAAACATGGACATGGTTTTGCTGCACCCGATAGCTGTAAGTAGGTCTACCAGCTTTTTGTGCAGCGTATGTTACTGTGTGCTTGTAATGGTGGTTGAACTGGGGGGCTTTTATTTCTATGCTGTGAAGTTTCTTGTTCATTGCTGTATATCAAATTGCTTTTAAAGAATTAGTCTGCTTTTTGTTTTTATTCTTCTAGAGCTCCTTGGCACCCATAGCTATGCACTTCATGACTAGAATTTCAATGTTTGAGTTGAGTCTGAGTGGGTGATACCAATTTCTGTATCATGTTAGTTCTGTGAGACCTTTTCATAGATTCAAGAACATTTAAAAGCCACATGTCATGAAGATTTCGTAACAAGCTAGGTTGATTTTTAGTATCTAGTTTAAAATCCTTGAAAGCCATACTGCATATGTTCTGTATTATTATTAGTATCATGTAGTAGTGCCATCTGGACAAGTGGGAGTGTGTTTTTGAACAGAAAATAAGTGTTGTGTCTGAGTAGGCACGCATGAATATTTGAACTTAACTTTCACCATTTTAGGGATATACTGATTTTAAGATAATGCAAGTATTGACTAAGTAGAAGTACTTGTCAGACTAGAATGGAGTCGTGTGCTAATAAGTGCTGTGAATTGAAAAGTAGTAATAGTAGGGACATGGTGGTGCTGTGAGCTAAATCCTCGCCAACCTAGCAGTTCAAAAGCATGCAAATGCGAGTAGATAAATGGGTACCACCTCGGTGGGAAGGTAAAACGGCGTTCCCTAGTCACGCTGGCCATGTGACAATGGAAACTGTCTTCGGACAAGCACTGGCTCTACAGCTTGAAAACAGGATGAGCACCGCCCCTGAGTCAGACACGACTGGACTAAAAATGTCAAGGGGAACCTTTTAATAGTAGGGAAATTAAGTAGTATTATTACATGTTTCTGGAGGTGAATTGATGGATAAGCATTGGTATGTTATTTGCTTTGTCTAGATGGTACAGTACAGTGAACACATGTGTGTTTTTCCCCTATTTGATACTGAAATTCCTGTCCCACATATAGATTTCTCAAAAGATAGATATGGTGGTCAGGCAATCCCATTTCTTTAAGAACTTGCCATAGTTTGCTGTGGTCCACACAGTCAAAGGCTTTTGCATAGTCAATGAAGCAGAAGTAGATGTTTTTCTGGAACTCTCTAGCTTTCTCCATAATCCAGTGCATGTTAGCAATTTGGTCTCTAGTTCCTCTGCCCCTTGAAATCCAGCTTGTACTTCTGGGAGTTCTCGGTCCACATACTGCTGAAGCCTACCTTGTAGGATTTTGAACATAACCTTGCTAGCATGTGAAATGAGTGCAATTGTATGGTACTTGGAGCATTCTTTGACACTGCCCTTCTTTGGGATTGGAATATAGACTGATCTTTTCCAATCCTCTGGCCACTGCTGAGTTTTCCAAGGTTGCTGGCATATTGAGTGTAGCACCTTAAAAGTGTCATCTTTTAAGATTTTAAATGGTTCCACTGGAATGCCATCACCTCCACTGGCCTTGTTGTTAGTCATGCTTTCAAAGAAAGGCCCACTTGACTTCACTCTCCAGGATGTCTGGCTCAAGATCAATAACCACACTATCTGGATTGTCCGGGACATCCAGATCATTCTGGTATAATTCTTCTGTGTATTTTTGCCACCTCTTCTTGATGTCTTCTGCTTCTGTTATGTCACTGCCAATTTTGTCCTTTATCATGTCCACCTTTGCACAAAAGGTTTGTTTAGTATCTCCAATTTTCTTGAACAGATCTCTGGTTTTTCCCTTTCTATTAGTTTCCTCTATTTCTTTGCACTGTTCATTTAAGAAGGCCCTCTTGTCTCTCCTTGCTATTCTTTGGAAGTCTGGATTCA